AAGCTAAAATCAGACCATTCTGTTTTTGCTTCAAATTACAAATTATACATTACAATTATACATTACAACAGTCAATTACAATCTAAATAACATGTATTTAGCATCTTTGTTTGGATCGTGATTAAAATGCAGTGGTTGCCTCTGATTTTAAATGGAAAAAGCACAGCCAAAGCATTAGTTTGTTTATGTGAAGAGATTTGTTTTATTTGTATTATTTAATTATTTGATTTGGTATTTGTTTAAAAATTTCAAGTTAGTTTTATTATTTGACATATTTCAATTTCACAAAGAAATGTGCAGCATTTTGTTGGAGAAATTATAAAAGGACACCTTTTCATTTATAATTTGTCTTTAGAAAATTGTATTGTAAAATCAGTATCGTGAATCGCATTGTGACTTGAGTGAATCGTTACATCCCTATATGCTACTATTTTTGCTGTGGTATCAAAGAAGTATTCTGTTATTTAAATAATAACGAACCATGAGATTTGTGATCCGTTGCACCTCTACTCTCTTGACTTGTTATTTGAAAAAAAAAAAGCAATCACTGAAGTTTCTAATCATGCTGATTTGTCTGCAGTGAAGTTCAGTCGATGTCTTTTTTTTATTTGGGCTACTTAAATTCATTTTGGGCTACCAAAATCTGAAGAATGTCTGCCCGAAGGGCTACCAGCGATTTTGGGACGACAGCCATGCAGACCAATTTGATGCAGTGTGCGGCGTATGGTCTGAGCTAGAGATCGACCGATATATCGGTTTAGAAAATGCAAAAAAGCATTTTTTTGTTTGTTAAATGTAAGTTTTTGTTTTTTTAAAGTAACGACCAAACGGCCAGCGGCAGACAGTGAGTTGATCTTAGCCTATGTTTGATCAATTTAGCCTTCTCAAATAATCACGACTTGCCTAAAATAAAATCTATAGATAGATAACAGTTCGAGCATATTACAATGTTCTAAAGCGCGCTTTACAGGACATGGAGGAGCCGGAGCGATCACTTGCATTGGAAACAACTTAAAATATGCCGTAATTATTGCTCATAAAGGTAAGAGTAATACATCACTCGGAACTGTAAAGGGTCTACTTAACTACCCCCGTTAAAAAGCAGTTAAAAAGGTCCCCCTCTTCTTAAAAGCAGTGGTGACCTCAAGAGGAGGAAACGCATCAAACTAAAACACCCCGATCAAGTTCAAGCAGGTAAGTTTCAATTACATATTTATGTATGTATGAATGTATGTGTGTGTGTATATATATATATATATATTCAAAAATATCAGATATTGAGAATATTAAAGAAGAAAAAGAAAAGGCTGTCATTACTGAAGGAGCGTTACTGCACGTGTTCGTGCTTATCAGCAGAATGAGGAGTTGTTGCCAGAGTAATTTTGCTGCTTTGTGGCAGTCTGAAATGCAAACTATATGTAATGTACAACTATTTGGCAAATACTTAAATGCTATATGTCAACTGAATATTTATGTGAGTGGCAATAAACTTCCTCGACATATTCCGAATTTCAGTAAGGTAGTGAAACTGTTAAATATGCTCATTGCGAAAGTGAGCGAGTGAGTGAGAGAGAGAGAGAGAGAGTTGAAGTTGAAATTGGCATACGTGACAGGCTTGACAACTGAAGTGGATGTTTGAGTCTTTTGCAGACACCCATTTAACTCATTAGCTTTTTGAGCGTTGAAATCCAATGTCATGTGCTCTTAACAACTGCAAATTTGTTTAAAAACTCCAAACCCCGGTTCAAATACATAATTTAAAGCTTCACAGAACCGCCAGCAACCTACTCTGAACAACAGCAAGCCCAACTTATTTTTACGCAGCGTTTGCAGTAGAAACTAAACTTGTTTCTGGAATCACACAATGCCATTTATTCACCGGCTATCATAGAAGGCACATACTCACCGATCACCTCCTGCAGCTCATAGTCATCCTTGTTGATGGACCAGGGTTGAGAGCTCAGGTCCTCCGACATGTCTCAGGATTGCGTACCTTTAGTTAGATCCTGCTGAATCCAGTAGAGATGGGTGCTTACAGAAAACAACGTGTAAATGTTACTGTAATCCGCAAAGCAGTAGCATTGCAGCTCAACAGCCTTTCTTTCATTCCCAAACTTTGCCACTAGCGCCAAAAGCCCCGCCCACCACATTCCTACACACTGACGGACGCTATAGTCAGCCATCTTGAGTGTGTAATAATTACACACTTATTAGCATTATTACCGTAGAAATATCATAGTAATTAGTTAATATTACTCCAATAAATTTGTGCTATTTAGTAATATTTTGCAATATTAACAATAAATGTATAACTATAATTTATTTAGTAGAAATTTTATATGACCCATATGAAAGGCTGAGGAAGAAACATAATCAAGCAGCATTAATTGTATTTTATGAGTTTCGTTCTGCACACAAACTACACAAACTGGTATAGGGAAACAGCACACGTGCCAAGTGAAATCTACTGTAAGGAACATAACCTCCAACCTAATTCGTACATTCACTCAGGGCAAATTATTGCAATAATTGGTGGCCCTAGTTCCATTACATTTTTATTTTATATTGTAATAAAATGCATAGTGGCCACTGATCTTTTTTTTTTTTACGTTTATTATACTGCCATCTCGTGGAATAAACAGTACATGGGCCATTCTTCAAAAAGTATTCCTGTAAATGGTAAAGGACTTCTAGAAGTAAGTCAAGCTTAAGAATTTAATCTTTTTTTTTAATTACAACTTGATTATGGAAATACAGCGCTAAAGTTAGGTTAGTCATTTCTAATCGAAGATATACATTATTCTGTCATTTATTTATTTAAAACCACTTTGAGATTTTCATAATTTCTGTAAATTCATTATAGAATGTTGGACGGAATGTTAAATGAGACAAGCCAATAAAACATCACAGAATTCATCAAAACTTATTCTAATACTTGTCACTTCCTGGAGGATGATGTCATTGGGCAACTCTTGTGTGAGTTAAAGGCAAGGGATAGGCCTATTACAAAAGATTAGAATGGAAAGTGAAATGGAAGGAAATCCAATTAAATGAGGATAATTACAATAATATTCTCAAGAATGCTTTAATAAATTCCATGTTAGAAATGCATTGCACCCGGAGACATGGCAAAAACTAATTTGAATTTTATGATATGATTATAAAATGTGAGACGTGAGACATTACTATAGCAATTTTTCATCCGCTGTGCTTCACTGTCGGTTCAGTGGTCAGTTTTTAAGTAGCAACTCAAAAAGTACTCTATTAATAGCATCAATCCAGTCTGTACAAATAACCAAACATGATTAAAAAAAAAAAAAAAAGAACCCATAAATGTATGTTGTGAGTCTCGTAACCAGTGGTGTAATGTAATGGAGTAATAATAATTCGTTACAGTACTTAAGTATTTTTGGAAGAATCTGTACTTTACCTGGTTTTTATATTTGTGTCAACTTTCACTTTTACTCCACTATATTTAATGATTAAAATGTACACTTTTACTCCGATACATTTCCCCGAAGCATATTCGTTACTACAAAATAAAGTCGGAAGAACACGGACTGCGAGGAAATCAGGTTTGACGAATCAGTGGTTTGGCGCTTGTAAGTTTAGACTCCTAAAAAACACATTTGCTCATGTGCAAACAAGTGCTCGCAGTCACAAAAGCGCGGATGATTTCATTTTCCAATCAATTCGAGGTGTGCGACATACAGTATATCGTCTGCGATAATATGGTAAGTGTTGTTTTAACGATGTGCGATCTGACATGATCGAGTATATCACAAAAACACACACAGAGAGTGCAGGCATACACTGTGTGATTTAGTCTATTACAACGCATTCAGAATGCCCATCAGATTCAAGATAAGAGGCAATGCCTCTGTAAGTATTTTATATCAATTAATAAGGTTATTAATCTGTATCACAGTGTGCCGTTTTTTTTCCAGATATCAGCATGATAACAAATGTAATACTGATTTTATACAAGTTTAATAAAGTTAGTATTAAGTTACTTACATTTTAGATGCCTGTTTTTGTTGTATTTCGCCAATAAAATAGTTCCAGCTGAGCGACACACAGAACGGTGTTTCCTTATTGAATTAATCAGTTTTTTGAACGAATGATTCAGTGACTCACTCATTAAAACAGTCAAATGTTTAATTCCTGAATGAATCAACCTTTTGAATGAATCGATTTAATCACAATGACTCGCTCTTTAACTGTGACTTGCCGCCACCTACCGGCGGCTTTAATTTCACAAGGAGACCGCCAGTAGGAGCAGCGACCCTGGTCGTCCCCCACTGCCCACGGTCTGGGGAGCCCGAGGCCGCCCATTGCCCCACCGGCGACCTCGCAGGCGGCTTGAGCTGAAGCGGTTTGACAGACCCAAATCGCTCCTGACTCTCATGTCAGGAAGAGGGAGCTTCCCCCGCCTTACAAGGCTGGGCCAGACCGTGCAAACGTTTCTGCCCGATTCTAAAATGCTCCCCTCATTCAGTTCTGTCACATCCGCCGCCCAGCACGTTTCGGTGTGCAGCAACCGTTCAACCTCTCTCTCTTTCAACATGGGGGATGGGAGACGCACCAGGCTTTCTCCCCCTACCATCTGTTCCTTCGTCACCTGCTGCTCACGTTATAGGAGACACGTGCGGTTCTCTCCCAGTGCCAGCAGACCCTGTACCACCTGCATTGGTTCCTGTAGACTCCCTCTTCCCGCGTCAGGACGCCAAGGGCCCTCCTTCACGGTTGACGATTTCTCCCCCTCCAGACCATGTCGGCAAAACCCCAACACAGGTATGTCCTCAAACAGACTGCAACACTCTGCTTCCTCTGTGCTTCCAAGCCACAGCCATATCACCCTGCAGCCCAAGACTGGTTGCCCACTGAAGCTAAGCAGGGTTGAGCCTGGTCAGTACCTGGATGGGAGACCTCCTGGGAAAACTAGGTTGCTGTTGGAAGAGGTGTTAGTGAGACCAGCAGAGGGTGCTCACCCTGTGGTCTGCGTGGGTCCTAACGCCCCAGTATAGTGACGGGGACACTATAAAAAAAAAAAAAAAAGCACTGTCTTTTGGATGAGACGTTAATCCGAGGTCCTGACTCT